CAAATTTAATTCTAATTAATTAATTTAACTATATGAAACCATTAAAATGTAAAATGGTATTTAATTTTTTAAACATAAAAAAGACATTTTTGCTTGCATCAGAAAGTTTGTCAAACTTTAAGCTACTTCACTTTACTGAAGCAGATGTTTCTTTGACTATCAGTGACTTGGTATTCTAAGATTACACAAAGAAAGTACATTCAGGACATACAACGTGAGATGTGACTAGCAAGTAATGTGACTGATTTGTTAACAAGCATACTAAGGACTAAACATCCAAATGAACATTACACTTCTAAGCAGCCACTTTGGGAGATCAGACACATTTCAGTGGTGTTGCCATTGCTCAAAACATTTCAAACTTCTCCTTTAGAATGCTCTCAGAAATAATTTATGAACCATACAAAACTCAGGCTCATTGCTTTATAAATTGCACCTCATATAGCAGTAACATGAAGTAAAGCAGAATTGAAAAATATAATTTTTCTTCTCTTCTGTTTATAAAAATAAACTTACATTTTAAATCAGTCCCCAAAGAAAGTGTTTTTATATAAATCTAGAAAAACAATCAGAAAAGCAGTAATAATAATAATTCCTTTTTCTTTGTAATTTGAGTAGAAACAATATAGACTAAGAATCAGTGCAACTTTGTTGGGAAGTGTCATCCATCTAATCTCATTTTCTTGGTCCTGTTTGCCTTTTCAATGACCAACTTGGCAAATTTTCTCTCTCTTCATATCCTCTTTAACCTTCCTTAGACATCTGACACGCCTGATCATCCTTTCTTTTTCCAAAAATGCTATGAACAGTGTTCTTAAAGAACTTAAAGGAACCACTCTGTATCCATAGCCTTTCCTGAACTTACTGTGCTATGTTCTTCCTGCATCCCTGGAAACATCACTCTACATATGGAAGTTACTAAAGTATTTAAAAACTTATTGAATACATAAATAGGCAAAGCTTTGGTTCTCTGCTCTATTTTCCTGTACCGTTTCTCTTGTTAAAATAAATCTCATGGATGTTAACTATCACCACTGCTAAAACAACAAGTCCCACCCCACAGCCTTTCTCTATCCCTACCACTCTCAACCGTGCCAACTTCAGCAAGTTATTTAACCTCTCTGAGTCTTAATTTCATCCTGTAAAAAATGGGGATAAAAATATAGTCTATCTCATAACATAATGCCCAGGTAGATAATGCTTAAGAAGTGTCTGATACTTTTTAAGTGTTCAATTATTTTTTTATTTATTGAGAAAGAGATAAGAGAGAGAGAGAGAGAGAGAGGAGAGCACAAATGGGGGAGGGGGAGGGGCAAAGAGAGAGAATCCCAAGCAGGCTCCACACTGTCAGATCAAAACCCAACGTGGGGGCATGATCCCATGAACCATGAGATCATGACCTGAGCTGAAATCAAGAGTCAGATGCGTAACCAACTGAGCCACCCAAGGGCCTCTAGTTATTATTTTTTTAAGGAAGCTCTACGCCCAGCATGGGACTTGAACTCACAACCCCAAGATCAAGAGCTGCATGCTCTACCAACTGAGTCAGCCAGGCACCTCTAAATATTCAATTATTTTAACTCTTATTGTTTTACCCTAAAATCTTTTGTGACATTCTCACAATCAATTCAACATATTTTTTTAAAAATATGCATACTGTCTGAAACTTGCACCGAGATAAAATGGTATGTTTTCACCTAGATTAAATTATACAACTACCATAATTAAGTTCTTATTTAATTAGCTTCTCCTATCTTTAGTAGTGTAGATAGCAATGGTTTTCTTAGGCTATAAGAGAACCTTCATATAGATTCTTGTATTGTCTTGTATAGGCTGTCAAAATGCTATGACCTCTGTCTGACAGGAAAGTTAATCAAACTATATCTAATAATCATTCTGTATGTCTCTAAACTTTCTTTTACCTATTAACTTCCCCAAACCTGCTTTCCTTTTGTTATTACTGTGATCACTAGTGGGAAATCTGTTCTTTCAGGCTATGAAGTTTGAAATCTCTTCCTTTCACCTTCCCTATCCTGTCCATTCTAAACAGGCATCACACCCCTGAATGTTCACTTTTCCATGCCTCTCCAATAACCCTTGTCATCTCACATGTGAACCACCACACTATACTTCTAACTCTCCTGCCTACATTTATTCTCACATTTTTTGAATTCATTGCACACACAACCTCATCATGCTAATGCTCCAAAATTATCAATCTTATACTCTCTGAAATTTTGCAAGGGTGCCTGGGTGGCTCAGTTGGTTAGGCATCCAGTTTCAGCTCAGGTCATAATCTCATGGTTCATGAGTTCAAGCCCTACATCAGGCTCTGTGCTGACAGCTCAGAACCTGGAGCCTGCTTTGGATTCTGTGTCTCCCTCTCTCTCTGTCCCTCCCCCACTGACTCTCTCTCTCTCTCTCTCTCTCTCTCTCAAAAATAAACAGTAAAAAGTATATATATTTAATAAAGAAATTTTGTATCCCTATACCACTTACCATATTTTTTACACAATATAAAAACAAAAAATTTGTGAAATAAATTTCATATCCTTAATCAGAAACCCTCATTTATTGTATGATGGTAGTATTGTCCATAAAGTCCTATACTATATCTTAATTATGGTGCTGTGAGGGTCAAATGAGGTGAGAAGAAGTTTTTAAAACATACATAAATAGTGCTATGTAAGATGCTTTGACTTAGTATATTACCATTTAGTCTCACACCAGAATCTCTGAGAAAGGTACTATCTCCAGCTCTGTAGCAAAAAGGCCCAGAGAAGTCAAGGTTACTATTCAGCAGAAAGGGTTCATACTACATATGAACTTACCTCTCAAGTCTCAACATGTATGCTCATTTTATTTCATCCTGTCTTCTTTTAAGCAGGGTTGTAAGACTGGAGTTCCTTGGATATATTAGTTTTCTATTGCTGTTGCAACAAAATATTACAAACAATAATACAAATTTACTATCTTAGAGTCCAGGAGGGCCAAAGTCCAAAATCCGTCTCACTGGGTTAGAATGAAGGTGTTGGTAGGGCTGGTGGCTTCTGGAGGCTCTGAGGGGAGAATGTGTTTCCTGGCCTTTCCCCTCTCCTTGACACTGCTCTGCTTGTTTCTTGAACCTTTCTCACACATCATTCCAACCCCTTGCTTCTGGCTTCCCATATTCTACTACAGTCTTCACCCCTCCTGCCCCCTCTTGTAAGGATCTTGTAATTGCACAAGGCCAATCTGGATAATCTAGGATAATCAACAAACCCTTGCTATGCAGGGTAATATATTCACAGGATCCAGGCACTAAGACATGGACATTTTGGGGGCCATTATTTAGCTTGTATCACTAGGCATGAGCTCTGACTACGGAGCCTGAATTCCCTGGAACTAAGACGTGGTGATCGTTAGCTTTTTCAACAATACATATCTATGCATTACAGTCTTTGGTCAAGATGTATTGAATACCATAGGGAATCATTCAGCCTAAGAAGACAGTTCATTTACTCACCTGCTCATTTATTATGAATCTTAATTTTGAGAAATAAAATCTGATTCTTAGTTTTTGCTGAAAAAAGAAGTTTGTAAGAAATGAAAAGTGTATATTAGACAAATGATAAGTGCATGTTGGGCAAGGATGTACAAGAAAGAGCATACCTGCAACTGCACTGAAACCAAAATAGAAATTTCAATTTTTGTTTTAATGCAAAATAAGCCTACTCCTGCTCGTGAGTCTTACAGACTTGGCATGGCTTTTACCAAGAGGGTCTTTACATTTTGACAGTTTATTATTTCCAGAATCTGCATGTTCGAGTATATATTATAAAGTTAGTATTTCATTATACCCCCTCAGCCAAACAAAAAGTCTAAATATGTTTAATGATTTTTTTTTTTTTTTTTGCATAAGAACATTACTTAATGGTGCTTGAATTAACAGAATGAATTGAGCTAATTGATGACAACACTTCTTAATGATACACTGACTTTCTGGGTCATCTCTCCCACTTCTACCAGTCTCATTAGCCCAGGGCCACTTGCATACTGAGTGCCCTTGGGCATTTCGATAGATCAGCTAACTGCAGATGCTTCAACACTAAGTCAGGGAGAAGCAGAGTTTCTACTGTCTTCTGACTCCTTTCTTTCTCCCACCCGGAAAATTATCAATCTTTCAGGAGTCTTAAATTTACTTTGAGGGTTATAAATATACACTAGTGGAATTTTACTGCTGAAGAACTTTGTTATATTGAGATAAAGGCTTGATGAAGCACCGGGTTACATGTACAAAACTTTGACTACAAATAAAAATACCAATATGTGTCCTTTATTTTAATAAATATATGCAAGCATTAGGACCTTAAATATCAGCATTGCATAAAGAAACATTGGCAGAACATGCCAAGAGATTCATGGTTAAAAGAAATAGAGACGTGTGTTATTAAGGTAAAAAAAGTGAAAGTGAATACATTTCGAAAAAAACATAATGCCTCGTACTAGAACATTTTGGTCCATGGGTAAAATTGTAAAAATACTTAAACATGCACGGTTGTTGAAGATAAGTGTATTAAAAGTACAGTCTTCCTCGGACTTTGGAAAAATTGATCGATGAAATACCTAAAGGTGAATATTAAATTTTATATACTTTTTTTCTCAGTTGATTTAACCTCCTATGAACAGTAATTGTCTTGTAAATGGATGTATATGAATTTTAGGAACCAAACTTTCAAATGGAATTTATTTCAGTTATGCCACAGACTCAGAAAAATGTCACATTTATTCAAAGAGTTATTTGTTACTCAGAAGTTTAAGTGTTTTGACCAGTGAAAAGTTAATAACAAAATGAAAAGAGCTGAGCATAGCATGATTTTAAGAATGCCAATTTGTAACCCAGGGGATAGGTATTTGCATACTAATTGTAATGTTCCTGCTGTCACATTACCTTCAGCTTGAAGATCAGTCAGAAAGAGAAATTCGACATCATCTGTGACAGTCAGACAGTGGAACGAAAAATGCCAGTGAAGTGAGTTGCTGTTTAAAGCTATTTTTATCTCAGAAGAGTTACAAATGAAACACTTGAGCCTTCATTAGTCTCGATGTTTTGTTTCCTTCATTTATGATAAATATGCTAATTGTTATCTTTCTTACTGATTTATTTTCTTTCCCTTTCCCTATTGATTTCTTCTTCTTTTTGAAAATATGTCAACAGCTCGTGACTTGCTGACAATGTGAAGTTAGTTCTTTAAATTTGCTAATATAAAGCAAGGTTATACAGGGGAGGAAAACCGGTGAGCTTTCTCTATGTGAAGTTTTTCAAAATTGTGAAATGTTAAGAGTTTGAGACATAGATATGTATGATCCTTGCAAAAATTATTCATTATTGCAATATTTATTGAGAAATTTGAAAACAGATATTAAGTGCTGGGTAAGGAAGCAGCTGTCACTTCCTGGAGCACATGGACCCCTTGCTTGAATTTCCCATTCTCCAGCACACTGCTAATTGAGTGTGAAGAGCTAAGTTGTTGGATTCCACATTTTTTAATGCAATACAACTGGTTCTAGCTGGCACAATTAGCAAGATAACTGGTAGCTTTCACGCAGTTCCCATCTGGCCTGGCTCTTCTCTGGACACATAATATGGGGACTGCTGGCCTTGATGGTGCTCGCTTAATGAAGGAAACAGAAAGGAAATCAGCCAAAACCCCATGAAATGCTAAGTGCAATTTTGGCTTCAGATACATGGTGAATTTTCATGGCAAATCACACACATACAAAAAGTTACTCTGATTATGCATCACAATTATTCAGAAAATGCACACACATTCACAAATGAGAAGAGTCGAACAAAAGCTCTGTCTGAGTTAAAACTAAAATCAAAACAAAATTAAAAAAGAGAGAGAAATGGCAGAGAGGCACATTGTCTATATATTCAAGGTAACGCGTGTCAAGTAAAATTTAACCAAGTCAGTACATTTTTAAATTAACCACCTTCATTTTATCTCCAATCTGAATTTGATAGTTTCTTTCTTAACATACCTATAGTTGCCTTTTTTTAAAACATAAAGCGTATTTCTCACTCATATCTAACACAAGAAATGTCCTATTTTCATTTGATAACATGAGATTCAAGAATCTGTCTTCTGAAAACTTTCTATTGAGTACTCAATTACTGCAATTCAGCTATTATTTAGAGGAAATATTTGTGTGAAATGCAATAAACTCTATCAGAGAAAATGCATTTTCAAATTATTTATTATGAATGTTCCAAAACACGAACCTAGAACAAGCATATGTATATTGACTCATTCACTCAAGGAAAAGTGTAAAAAGAGTTTGGGTTATAAGGAGATATACTTGTATTTGAATTCTAACTGCCTGTTAGTATATGCAAGATATTGCACCAGTCATTAGCATCTCTGAGGCTCTTTATTTCTTTGTAACATAGGATTAAAACACACTGTCATATATAGGATTAACTAAGGTAAAATATATGACATGCTGTACCACATGCTATACAATGTGGTATAGATTGCAAACATTCGATACATGGTTGTCCATTCTGATGCTGCTAAAAATATTGCCTTTCAGCTTATTCATATATAACGATAATTTACTCTTCTGCCAAATTATAAATACACAATCAACTCAGAATTTAAAAATTTAAACAGCAAATTAAGAACATGATTCCTTTGAATAGCTGCATCTCACTTAGCTTCTGAAAAGTAAATACTGCATTACCACCAACCTTCCCATCAGTCAAAATTGAACCTTTCAAGTCAAACTCGAAATAGGTTAGGAAATAGTGAGCTTACAGCATCCCAGGAGCTATCACACACGAGCAAAGGTATTCCATCAGAGAGTTGAAAGGTAAATTTACCTTTTATAATAATGCAGTTTTTGGTGGACCATAAATAATACCAGAATATCCTAGAACCTCTAATTCCTATAATGTTCTCTACTTATAGAAGATAATATTCTAGCATATCTCTTTAACTCAAAACATTACATTTTTTGTTTGTCCTTGGTTTTACACCATTTCCAAATTTTGTTTTCTTCCTTTGTTTTTAGTGTTTTCCTACACTAATGAAGATAACAAGAGTAGCTACCATTTATTTCAATATTTCCATTCCTAAAAGACTCCTTTACTTCTGGTAAGGTCTTCACTGAATATTCCTTTTGCTTTCAGTGCAAGCAATATCTGACTCTCCCTAAATGACATAACTTGGCTTGATGGCCTCAGAATGGATTTTGTCCACCTTCTGCAATTTCACATCTCTTAGGGATGGGAGTGAGGTCTGCAGTCGGTCACTCTCCAATGATGCTTTCACGTCATGTCTCCTCTTCCCTCCACTATTACACTTTGAAGCTAATGCAATTCAGCCATAACTTTCAGTAATCGTCTTATCACTGTCACCTACCAGCATGTTGAAAGCCATTGCACTGCTTCCATTGAAGGTTTTAATACCTGCCACTATTTGGAGTTCATTCATTATTTGTTTCTATGTTCAACAAATTGAATTGAAAAAAAAATTTTTTTTGAGCAGACATACTGTTCTTGGCAGTGGAAAATAACAATATTTACTCCTTTCATCAGAGAACCTACACAATGGGGGAGGTATATGTTCATTCCTGAATGCTGTTTGCCTAGATTGTTTCTTAGTGGTTTTTGTTTCTGTATGTGTGTGCTTTTTTTTGGTGGTTGTTCCTCATTCCAAATGGGTGTACTGTGCGGCCAGGCTTTGGCTCAGAATGCCTACTGCCCTGTTCATTTACATATATTCCAGTCACTGTAAGTAGGCTTTTTAAAAATAATCTCTTAACCACCAAATATCAGTCTTCAAGCGGAGATATTTTTAAACATGTGCACTTTAAGAGACCGTATGATAATTTTAGCAGTATTTGATAGAATTCCTACAGGACCTAATATATGAATCATATAAAATATAACATAAGCTTGTTAGAGTACCAGGCTTTATTGTACACAAAAGCTCTTCAATGTAAATTTAAATCTAGATTTGAGTCCCATTCTCCATTAATGCAAAATATAAATGAACAACTAAATTTTTTAAGTGTCCACTTGAATGAAAAACCACTATTTCAAAATAGTTTCACAGAAAATCTTGTGTCCCTAAGATTTAATAAATCAAGGGAGAAAGGAAAATCATCTGTCTACTATCAGGAAAGAAAGTTTCAGATAGGAAATGTAAGTAATGGAAGGTAGTAAAATGAATTCCCAGTCACAGAGTCCCCTCTATACACCCACTAATGAAGACAGCCATTATTATCTGAAAATACAACCACATCTGCAACCGCAGAAGGAAGCACACTCAATCCCAACACAAATAATAAAAAAGGCAGCAAATTACAGGAAGTAATAGAATATAAAAGCAAAGAGATCGCTTCACATAGCATATTTAAGATTAGTCACCTTGATATGCAAATGTAAAATTTTATAAGAATGACTAGATATAAGAGTCTATTTTATTATCAATTGTTTTAATAAAAACTTTCAATTAGCTCATCAGTTTCCATAAGTAGGTCATTTGCACATCACAGCTACATAATCTAAGTTGTTTTTTCTGAGTAGCAGATGCTTTCTATGGATGGGAGCTTATCTCATCAGGATCTTAGTTTATTAAAGGGAATAATGCATGATATATTTGCATCTCAGAAACTTTAAATCTTAAACCTGATTTACTACTTCTACATCACATCCCCAAAAGTATACCTTCTTCAGAAGACTTAAGTCTATAAATTTTTTGACTGCCTTGGAAAAGATATTACTCTGTCCTGACAGATTCCTAGATTTAAATAAACATCCCAGAACTGGAAGCATACCAGTCTAAGGAGAAATAAGGTCTGTCTCAGAGTGGGGTAAAAGCTTCTCAAAATACTATAAATAAATGCTTTCAAGATCATCACATGTTAGAAATCCTTAACTGAAACTTTTTTTTTTTACTTTTTTGAGATACACAGTTATGACATGGATAATTTTATTTTCTGCAAAAACCCAGAAAATAGTTCAGTCATCACTACTGCTAACATGAAAACTTTTCAGAAATAAATCAGAGTAATTCCATGTAAATTAACAATTAATATATTTATAGTTGAGAAAAAATTCAATATACCTCATAAAAGCATGAGAAATATCTTCCTTGTGCCTTTATTAGAATATAAGATTTGCAAATATTAATAACATTGTAAGATAGATTAATAAATAATTTGCTGATGTCAAATTATATACCACTTTATGTTGCTATTGCTGTCCACTGTGGAAAACATTATATGATTTTTGTTGACCCTTTTCAGTTTGATTAACGGTGCAAAGCTCTTTTAACTTATATAATTCAACAAATACACATATCTCAAATATTACTATAGGTTATAGAAGAAAAAGATCACAATGCTATTGTCAAGGGTAGATGTTGTTTCTACAGGTCACCGACAACAGAATCTACGGTGTGGTCTGAAAATATGGACACACTTTTAACCAATCAAGGTAAGATCCAACTAAGTTTAAAAAGATAATGATTAAAAGTAAACCATTAAATTCTGAAAGTTGTAATCACTATAAAATATGAGTTTCATCAATATTTGAAGTATAAGATTTCCAAGATCTTGCATATCAAGATTTGAGATTTGTATGGGTCTCAAATCTAAATGGAATTAGGTTGGGCTTAAAATAAGACATGATTATAGAAACTCCAAACTTTAACACAAAAAGAAAATCCCAAATAAGAAGTGAGAAATTTGTCATTTTCTTGTACTCATTATCATTTGATGTATATATAATGACTGTTCTTGTTACAAGATGAAAATAATATACAAACTATTGAAAAGTTGAAAATTGAAATAAATGACTTGTTTTTTCATGTCATGGGAGCTAAAAAATGTTTTTAAAGTATTTATTTCAACCGAAATTCTAATTTTTAATGAAAACAAAAGCATATTTAAATGTATTAATATGTATAGGTGTGGATGTTTATATTTATACTTAATATAGCTCAGTAAGGTAATTTTGGCCAATTATAAATAAAATACCCTAGAATTTGATTCAAAGTAATCATTTGGAACTTCTGTTTCCATTATTGATAATTTTGCTTTGCAGAAGTTCTATTGCATACAGGGGAAAAATTGCACAACAGAGACATATATTTTAAAATGTTTAAAATTTAATACTGTTGGTACTAATCAAATGGAGTTTCCACTTAAAATTGGTAAGGTAAATATCAGAATATTAGAAAAGCTTAAAACATAATAAAGTTAGGTGTATTTGTCATAGTTGTTTATTCATATATAAAATAGGATTGAATTAAACAAAATTATTCTGATTTTATGATTCGTAATTAACTAATTCCTAAAGCATAGACATAAAATAATCCACTAAGGACATATACTAAAGACATCATAGATATGGAATTGTATTTTTATAAGTTTTGAATGGCGTGTTTCTTTTCTACTTAAGTGTATATCCAGTGGGACAGAGCAGGTTCACTAAAAGCCTTAGGAATGTAGCTCTGCAGGTGGTGATTTGGCTTCAGCTCCAGAGACTGGGGAGACCCAGCCGCCACAGAATAGAGGCACGGAAGATGTTGAGCTGAAGGCAAATGCTTTCTTCAGCATACCTCCTGAATTTTTTTTATTTTGTGCCCACATAAAGTAGAAGAGACATAGAGTCATTTGAAGAGCTGTTTAGTTTTTGCTTTTTATAATACCAGAAAAAATAGCTTAGAAATAGAAAATGCTTTTTAATGCTTTAAACAGCTAAATGAGTTCACCAAATTATCTAGTGATTCTGTCAGCTTGGGGATATGTCTCACAGGAACCATACATAGCTCCCCGGTAGGTTTCAATCCCTATTATTTATTCCATGTGTCGTCACCTTTGAGTCTAACCAGTAGCCATTCCAATCTGCAGAGAGTGCTCTCAGATGATATCATTTTAATCTTATGTAGCATATTATTCCAAAGTCACATGACTTCTTTTGATCATTCAGATTGTATGTATAGAATAGAAACATAGTTCAAAAACATAGTATGTTCAGGACAAGGATAGCTAACTCGTTTTCGCTGTTTATTCTGTTCCATTGTGCCCTAAACCTAGTGGATGACAGGGGGAGAGAAGCCGATAATTACTATCTCAGAGTGCTCCTTCATTAAACTGGTAGGATGTGAAAAAATAGTAAGTTTCTTGATCTCTAACCTCCCATCTCTCTGGGATGCATTTAGATAATCCTCACTGGGAGGAAGCCTCTATGCCTTAATGACACACATATAAAATATTGTCAGACAAGAATCTACATTCTTCCAGTATCCTTAAAGTATACTTCATTCTCTATATAAAATAGATTTAGCATCAATTCTGTTTTAACCCCTCAATTTCATTTTTGTTTGGACAAAATTCATGGAAATATAATTGAGTGTTACTAAGGGGATTTTTATAAGCTAAATTTGTGTCACAGAAGCCTCTTGGATGTATTTTTAAATGCAATAAATGTGCAGTTAATTGAATTTTTTATAGTGCTCACATATTAACGGCATCTACATCCTCCAATATTTCTACTGAGAATTTTAATTGGTACCTGATAACCTTTTGCAATGACTTGTTATTTCAACATTATTTCGAATAATAAAAAAACGTTAAATCTATTTTTAATCCAGTGCTTTTAGACACTTTAATCTTGCTCCCTTGAAGCCTTCTCCATTTTCTTTCACTAAACCATTTTGCTTCATACCTGCAGCAACCTACAAACAGTTGACTTTGGCTCTTTTTCCATAAACTTTCTCTAACATTTTCTTTTTTACTAGTTCATTTTCCCTTTTCCCTGATTCTCCACAAGCTTATTTGTCGTAGCTTTGGAACTAGAAGGATCAGGTCTCTGAGCACACAGTCAGGGAAGAAGAGCTGCTTTGATGCACATGCAAGGGGACCCTCATGGCAGATGGAAGAGAAAGCCACCATTGTTTTGAAAGGCAAATCCCTCCCAGAGGCAAAAGTGCTGACGTATATTTTCCTCCTCAGAGAGATCCATAGTCTCATTTATAAACAGATACCAACCTCAAAAGGGTGCAGTCACATTATGTGAACTCAAGGCACTGGCTTAGTCCATAAACTGCGGGAATCTGATAATGACCTTTCTTACCTGCTAACTAGAGACACACTCCTAACCATACTTATCCCTAAACAATTTAGTAAGAATTACCTTCTCAAATGAGCTCTATACCAAAGAAGAATATTTCAGGGCACATTTTGATGAAAAAATAAAGAAAAGAACAGTCTAAACAGGTGGTCATAAACTCAAATATCTATTAAAGCAAGAAATAACACATGTGTAAATTTGGGAAAGTAAAATAATGGGGAGAGATTAAGACCTATGGAAATCACAGGCTGCAAGCACTACCTGTTGTTATTAAATTCAAAAGAAATAGCATATAGTAATGAATGCAAAGTAAACAACCTGCAAGTATGTGGACCTGTTTGCAGTCCCTGGTCTAAAGTTTCTGAATAAATATATGCTCGGGAGAATACCTGGAGGCAGGAGAAAAACACCAAGAACAGGGTACATTACCGTAGATACCATGAGGGAGACTGGGGGAACGTGGCTGTTTTGTTTAAGGTAACATTGGGGAAAAGTCCATTTATTTGCCTCATTGACTTAAAATTGTGTATCACCACATCAAGAGGAGAAACATTCACACCAAGTATCTTGCCAGTTATTTTCTTGGTTTAGAGATTAGAATTGGCTAATATATTCACCCAAAATTAATAAATGTCAGTCCTTCCTTCTTTGCTTTGAGCCCAAACCCACACAATCTAACCCCTTAGCATCAAATTTTGTTTTCTCACCAACTCAAGGTAACAAAGATATTCCTACTCAGAATTACTTTTAACATCATTAGCTTGATTTGAGCTTAGTGCATTGGGTGGAGAAAAGCTAAGGCCATAGGGGCGCCTAGGTGACTCAGTTGGTTAAACATCCAACTTCGGCTCAGGTCATGATCTCACCATTCGTGGGTTCGAGCCTTGCATCGGCCCTGTGCTGACTGCCAGCTCAGGGCCTGGAGCCTGTTTCAGATTCTGTGTCTCCCTATCTCTCTGACCCTCCCCTGCTCACACTGTCTCTCTCTCTCTCAGAAATAAATACAACATTTAAAAAAAAAAAAAAAAGAAAGAAAGCTAAAGCCGTGGGGTTTCCCATAAAGTAACTGCTATCAAGACTTTCCCCTAGGGGTGCCCAGGGGGCTCAGTCAATTAAGCATCTGACTGGCTCAGGTCAAGATCTCATGCTTTGTGAGTTCAAGCCCCATGTTGTGTTCTGTGCTGACAGCTTGAAGCCTGGAAACTGCTTTGGATTCTGTGTCTCCCTCTTACTCTTCCCTCCCCTGCTCTCTCTCTCGCTCTCTCAAAAATAAATAAACATTAAAAAAATTAAAAAGAAAGACTTTCTCCTAAATCAACTTCTATACATTTCAGATCTAAAAATTAAAGTACAGGTTTTTCTTTGTTGGTGGAGCCAATTGGATACATAGAGACAAGAATATTTTATGTTTATGATTACTGATCCAAAATAAGGTTTCTAAACTTAAAGACAAAAACATAACTGTAGAAGGATGATAAATACTTGCCACTGAATATTAAGTAAATGTTCATGTCATACAACTTATTCATATTGGTCATATATACTGCACTGAATGATATACAAAATTTCTCTTTTATATTTTATAGCTGGTCTAGATGCTTTTAGAACATTTCTAAAATCGGAGTTTAGTGAAGAAAATGTTGAGTTCTGGCTTGCCTGTGAAGACTTCAAAAAAACAGAAAGTGCAGAAAAAATGGCTTCTAAAGCCAAGATGATTTATTCTGAATTCATTGAAGCTGACGCCCCTAAAGAGGTGAGTAAAATATTCTAGAATACTGACTATTCCTCCCGTAGCAAATCTCTTCCCAGTTATAAGACACTAAATCTATCTAAAGGGAATTCTAATTGTCGCTATGTATTCAAATAGAAAATGTCTGTAAACTCCAGTAGAAGTGCCTTAAGATGACCCTATCCTTTACTGATACAGCAAATATTTCTCAACACCTACTATGTGCCAGAGATGACCAAAAGTTTTGTTTTCTTAGCCCAACCTGCAGACTCTTGAAAAATAGTATTTGTTGTGTTAAGTTAAATTGCTCTAAAGTTAACCCTACAGAAATGCTACTTAAATATGTTGCATTTCAAGTTCACTTTGGTTTTTCCTTTCATAAATCATGAAGGTCAACATGGAATAGAATTCTAGAGTAGAGTAGTTTATTTAAAAACTTAAGAATAATATGTGGGGGGAATATAACTACTTACCAATGTTATGAATTCTTCATTTTTAATAGTTCAGATGTCCACATTATGGCATGTAATGTCTTAATTTCCAAAAGAAGGGTTTGCTTACCTTTATTTCTTTGATGGCAAAAATGAGCCAAAGGTGTGAGGCAGTGTTTTATGTGATCAGGACCCACCTGTGCTGCTTTAAGATCAGGAGAGTAGAAAAGGCCTTAGAAAGAAACTTGGAAAGACTGATAAAAGCTCCCAAAAAAGTGTTCAATGTGTGTAACATCTCATTTATATTTTATTTCATTTTCAGAACCAAAACCATGATCATCTCCACATACCTTTTTAATATTTAACTTTAAATTTTAAGCAATTTATAATTTAAAACTATTTCTGTTCCCCACTGAAGATATCCTATAAGCAAAGAGTTTTAATGCATAAGTAGTAAACAGAAAGTTACATTGCATTACTAGTACAAAATAGAAACTACTAGTATAAATCATTTTTCTTATAGAGGTAAAATATCAGTTTCCTCCAACGGGATACTTATTATATTTTCTGATCCAAAATTAGTATTCATGGTGTGAAAAGGGTTATTGTACGTTTGGGGAAAAAGAACAGAATAGGTGAAATGAAAACACTTTGGAAAATCTAGGACATAAAATTGCTGTAACAGTAGTTCAAGCTTTAATTGGACATTAATTACTGCCGAATACATTGGCTAGTATAACATTACAGGCATATATATGAGCCATTAAAGCATAGCATGGAATTCATGGGACAGTGGTGGGGAGGGGATTTTAACTGCTGTGGAGCTATTTTAACATTCATTTCCCAGTCACCATCTAAGAATCAATAAATAATTCTGGAAAATTGAAAATACAGTGTATGAGATTTGTCAAGTTGATTAATGTGTCATTCCCTAAAAGGCTTTGAAATCAGCTCTAAAGATATCCTATTTATTGTGATATTGATTTGAAAGCCAGATTTTTTTCTTCTTTATGAATTCATTTAATTAACAGTGATTGCTTTAGAATAACATTCTCAAACATTTGCATGAAAAGTCTTCTAATAAGAAATGTCACCTTTTAATTATAGCTGAATTCAATCTTACAATATATAATAAGTTATCAATTTTGACAAAATAATTTTGTTTATTTTCCTAATCTTGTCTTCCAAAATAAATTTACAGAGTAATAATTTAAACAAATAACACAGTCATTATTTTAGGATATAAAGTTTTTACAGCTTTTTTATAGTTTGTCCATCTAATTAATTTGACTAAATAAATATAACTAAATTTATGACTGCTTTTCAAGTAATAGATTATGTTTTCTCCTTAAAGTGTCAAAAAATGTTTTTATTGAATATGACAAAATTCACTGATAATGAAAAATATACATATATATATTTGAAATAGTCATTATCTTTCCTATTATTTGCCATTAGTCATTTCAAGTTCAACAAATTACTAAATTTCAATTCCCAAATTAGTAAAGGGCATTTGCCTCTTATCTTATATACCAATCACAGTCTTCAAGGTATTTCTCTGTAGTCTATCAGCTGTAGTTTAATTTTATTACAACTGTTGAGTATGTTGACTCATTAAACTTATTTTTTGAATTCCTGTCCCCACAGTGAAGTCATGGAAAAGAAGATACTGACTTGTAATAAAACCAGTCAAATACACAAAAGGCAATATAATAATAAAGCCATATTTAAAATTCATTGTAGCACACTGGAAAGGTGATCAAATCTGGAGAGTTAAGGGATGTATTTTCAGGGTGAATCACACATGAAAAATGTATGTCATGAAAAGAGTAACATCAAGACAGCAATTGAAGAAAGAATATTTCAGGCTGAGGACACGGTGATATAACATGGAGGTACAAAGCTCCCTAGCGTTTTCTGGAAATTGCAAACATTTTGATATTGTTAATGAGAAGTGAAGGGTGAAGGATGAAGTTGGATGGGCAGCAGTAAAGATAAGGAAAGGACGGGAAGTATTCTAGATTTATCTAGTAGACAAACTTAACAAGATGAGGTGATATACTTGATATGGAAGCTGGAAGACATGATTTTTATAAGTAAAAACATTTACTTAAGGATGAGATTTATATGAGAATATTCTCCATTTTTCCATATTCAGTTATAGGTGTATAAGTGACTCTTATAAAGAATCAAAATTGGGGTGCCTGGGTGGCTCAGTCGGTTAAGCCTCCAACTTCGGCTCAGGTCATGATCTCACGGTTTGTGGGTTCGAGCTCCACATTGGGTTCTGTGCTGGCAGCTCAGAGCCTGGAGCCTGTTTCAGATTTTGTGTCTCCCTCTCTCTCTCTGACCCTCCCCGATCATGCTCTGTCTCTCTCTGCCTCAAAAATTTTTAAAAAATAAACTATAAAAAAGGAATCAAAATTATAACCAATTTCCTTAGAAAATCCTAAAGTAAAGAACAATGGCAAAGTCATCTTATCCAGAGTCTAGTAATTCCTATTTTTTCCCACTTCTTGCATCTCTATTTCCTCATCTATAAAGTTGTTATTGTAATTTTTATGCACTTAGACAGTTTACAATTAGATTATACTAACTTTACAATAAACCATCCCTGTCTATAAATTGACATTACTAATGGTTCTCAGTTTCCTAGGCAAAGACGGCGCTTTGAACAAAACAACAAAAATTGAACTTCTAGGTCTCTATGAGAAATGATAATAAGTGTAACTTGGCCTTATGCCCACTTACTTGCAGTGTTACATTTCCTTTGGTTTCTACACCAATAGAGAGTTAGTGTGGTGTAATGGAAAATTGGAAATTTAGATATACCTAGACCCAGTTCAAACCCTGGAATTTTGTGGTAAGCTACTTTATCTCTCTGAGCCTCAGTTTCCTCATCTAACAAAGCATTTCTAAAACAAGCATATAACAACTACAGAGCACAAATGAGAATGAGTGAGACCACGTGTCAACAGTTTACACTATGCAGAACAGCTTTTAAGAAACTGTGATCACTTTCGGGGCATCTGGGTGACTCAGTCAGTTAAAAATTTTTAAAAAGAGGGCCACCTGAGTGGCTTAGTCGGTTAAGCATCCGACTTTCGCTTAGGTCATGATCTCAAGGTTCGTGGGTTTGAGCCCCGCGTCGGGCTCTGTGCTGACTGCCAGTTCCGAGCCTGGAGCCTGTTTCAGTCTGTGACTCCCTCTCTCTCTGACCCTCCCCGGCTCACGCTGTCTCTCTCTCTCTCTCCTAGAAATAAAAAAACATTTAAAATTAAAAAAGTAATTGTGATACCTTTCTTTCTTTTTTTCTTTCTTTTTTAATTTATTTCTGAGAGAGCGTGAGCAGGAGAGGGTCAGACAGAGGGAGACACAGAATCTGAAACAGGCTCCAGGCTCTGAGCTGGTTGTCAGCACAGAGCCCGACGCCCAGCTCGAACCTACGAACTGTGAGATCATGACCTGAGCCGAAGTCGAATGCTTAAACGACTGAGCCACCCAGACGCCCCCTTTTTTTTTTTTTTTAACAAGTCACTATAAGGACTATAGTTTCAACCTGAAACCTGAAAACAACCATTATACAAACATGTTAGCAAATCACTAGTTTCAGATAAAAAGTGCTACTCATAGAATGGACTATACCTAAACAGTTTTAGAAGAAAGTACTGAGAAAAAAAAAAAACAAAAGCATGACCCAGATATTTAACTAAGTGATTTGAAAATAAGAAAATTATTAGACAAACAATATTTTAAAATTATTTTTCATAAATTTAAAATATTTTAAAGCAATATTTTCTACTTACTACTCATTAAGTACCTACAGGTGACAAAGAAAAAAATTCCTAAACTTGTATTCATTCTTCCTTCCTTCAATTTGGAAGGAATTTCACAATATTTGGAAATTTTAAGAAAATAATATGGGGTCTCAAAAGAATGGGAATCTTCAAAAACCTTCAAAAAATACTTTCATATTAGCTAAGACACTGACAGATTTTAAATATTCATGTTATATTTATATCATTTGTATATATTATATTTGCATCATTCCTTTATATTGAAAATAAAATTGGTCAGGATGGAAAAATATGTGATTAGAGAGGAAAATGTTTATGTTGATTGTCATTCTGTGATATTAGAAAATGCTCTAAATCATACCATAGTGTGATTTTTAAAATTATAAATTCAGCTGCATATTATCCTGGATTATCCAATCCAAGAACAAATACATTGGCAGTTTTTTAAGTCAAAGGATATTGGTATGAAGTACTCAATTCCTAAATGTATTTATTAAATGTGAGGACACCATAATGCATAAAACAAAGAAGAAACTATAGTCATAAAGGAGAAGGTATCTTAATGAGCGTGTGCAGGAAACTTTTAAACTATCTATGTCTGGTTTTTGCTTTTATTGTTAAGGCAGGATAGTATTATTTATTGACATATCTTATTTCACAACAGTAAATGCTTATTCTGTGCCTACTATTTATCCCTTTATAAGATAAAGTACCTCCGTGGAAGGGAAGCTCAGTCTAAGCAGGAGAACAGATTTAAAACACACACACACACACACACACACACACACACACACGT